AGTCACAGCATGCAAATAATACAACTAAACAAACAAAACTTAAAGTATATGCATACATCTACAGAAGTGTCCCCCCAGAATTTTAGCTGCAAACACTTAGCTAAGAGCCAGCCTGAAAACATTTACATTTGTTTCCCAAAAAGAACTGGGAGATTGTTTTTCTTTTCCATACCCCTAAATGGGGCCAACCCAAAACTCTGAGCACACCAGCTGCTCCATCACTCCCTGATTGGAGTGGTCCATGGGTCATGCCTGGGACTGGGCATAAATTGAAAATGCTCAAGGAAGTGTGGCACTTGGGGTTTTGCAGAGGAAGGAAGGAAAGAAAATGTACTAACTTTATTCACCTCATCATTCTCTAAGAAAATTCTCCTCAACATGAGGGAAAACCTCGAATTCCAGGGGGAAAAAAGCTTACTTAATACTTTTAATTGTATCCTTTTGCCCCCTAGCTTAGTCTCTCCCTTTTGCTCTTTGTTTGGTGTTAAGCCCCCATAGATGATTTTCCTAGTTTCTCCCATAATGAAACCTAATCCTTAGCATTTACCTGGGTTTTTTTAGTACTCCTCAGTACTCAAGGAACACTTGCAAACTATTTCTTCTAGCTCAAATCACTTGAAAATTTAGTTTAAGTGTGTAGCTAAATATGCAGATGATGTTTTTGTTGTTTTGGTTTTGGCTTTGGTATCCAGCCACAATAACCAATTAGAACGCTGGACTCATTGGAACATTTATCAGAACAGTTCAAAAGGGAATTGAATGGAATGGTGATTTGATCCAGCTGTGGCAGGTCCCTTCTGAATACCACACTCTGAGGATTCTCCCAACAGTATTTGTTTTTTTCTCAGACAGAGAAAGCGCCACACATTTTGTGATATCCGTTAGCTTGCCGTGTAATTAAATTGATAGACATTGTATCCTGTGGCTTCAGGTTATAAATTAGTGCAGCTCATGAAGAAACTGTAAGTCTAGGTGTGATTCATTTCTGAGCATTTATCAATATAGAGCCCTATAAATAAATTCGATTAAGACCCCACTAAAAACATAGTATCTGTTATTGCCCTTCTCACTTGTAGCTTCCTAGATTTGGACTGTTACTTGGGTCTATTTGATAAATGCTCTTCCCAGAGGCAGTTGTTTTGAGAGATTATATCACAACATGTCTGAGGACATTAAGCACCTGACTGCCGGACATACGTGAGGTGGCTGCCCAAATCTCTAAATGTATGTTCAAATTTAAAAAAGAGGGAAAAAAAAAGATAAACTAATTGGCTGCCTAAGCTTGGCCATTATTCAGAGTTAACAAACAGGAAATAATTAAAACCTGGGGTTTATACTAGTAACCAAGGAGGAAATTGAATGAATTCCAAGTTATTAGAGTTTGTCATTGACTTAATTTCATGACACACACTCCCTTTTTCATTCACAGTATTTGTGCTTATTTTTAAAAATTAAAAATGAGGGGCGCCTGGGTGGCTCAGTTGGTTAAGCGACTGCCTTCGGCTCAGGTCATGATCCTGGAGTCCCGGGATCGAGTCCCACATCGGGCTTCCTGCTCAGCAGGGAGTCTGCTTCTCCCCCTGACCCTCTTCCCTCTCGTCAAATAAATAAATAAAATCTTAAAAAAAAAAAATTAAAAATGAATCAGAATTTTCAATTTAAAATTTAGGCCAAAAATTATGACTCATTTAATATCATTGGATGTGCCATTAAATTAACATAAATCCAGGAACAGGCATCAATAACCTCTATAAATAGATGCTTGCGGGCCTGTAACAATAGTAAAATATCCATTTTGTGCAAATGTAGAAATGGTGACTTTTTTTCAAATGTCTTGTATTCTGATATGTAAATTTTGTAGAAAAGTTTATTTTCTCAGTTCTATTTGGAAGAATTGTCCTGTCCTTAGCCATTTTTTTCTTAAAATTGCCTTTAAAATTAGTGCATTAAATTGATTTTTAGAATTAACTGACTTAATTTGCATTGGTTCCATTTTGTTTCAAAATTTATACCCTTGTCAAGTTACAAAAACCCAAGGAAAGGGTACTGTCATGAAAAGGAAAAGAGAAATATGCTAATTAACTATCAAAATTGATTTCTTTCTCTTTTTTAATTATATTGTTCTTGAGTACTGTGCATGGATTGTTGCCCTGTTGACTACTGCTGATTGAGCAAATCTAGTACTGAATCTGTTTCATTTAGTTTAAATTGCAGTACCTGCACTTTTTTTTTTTTTTAGAACACATAAAACTAGTCACACTTAAGGGACATATCCAAATTAAGAATTTCTGATTCTGTCTCTCACTGACAACTTTACCTTGTTTTCAGGCAGATACAGCCTGAAAAATTCTTGCTTATGATTAAAAACTTGTGTTTCTATCAGGAGACATTCTTAGACTGCCAGTACATTTTAATAAAATATTCACTTTCCACATGCTGCCAGTCATCATGCACTATAAATGGACTAAGGTTAGTGTAGAGTCGTTATGATCAAAAGCATGACGTGAGGGATATAAAATCCACGAGATCTTGCTGAGGGCTGCTGCCGTGCAGATTGGCCATTGCATCAGTTTTCTTCACCTGTTCATCCCACCATATTCTGATAGCTTAAGGCTGAAGGGAAGCCGGTAAAGGACAAAAATGGACTAACGTGTAATACAATAACTCACACATCACTAGCCATGTGACCGGCATCTGTTATGTGCCCCCTCTGAGCCCACTTACCTCAAGTTGAGGAGCAAGTACCAGAAAGGGTTTTGATGAGGATTTACATGAGTTAATTAATGTTGGAGCCCCCAGTAAGTAGCACCTGGCTAATGAGTAAATGTGTGAGGGAGAAAAGATGTAAAAGAAGAAAGGATTTTGATTGCCTCTGTTTGTTACAAAGAAATTTAGCACATGCACACAAAATAAACATTAGCCAAAACATATGAACAGCTGTGTTTAGAACTCTGCACCATCTAAATCTTCTCCCAAAAGCACTTCTAAGTTCTAAGGAAACCAACCATATTGCTAATTGAATCTTCACTAAAGTACCCTTGTTAATTTTCGTTAAAATTTGTTACATGTTAGAGTTAAGGATCTGTTCTGGGCATAAAAGTTTTTAGTACAGTGCCCCTTTTATAACACGTGGAGGCAATGTTCCTATAATAATAAAATCGTTAGAGGTTTTTAGTTGCAGCCTTTTTGCTGGTGTTGGTCATAATTAGTACTTTTTTGACAGTGAATCCTTGATTAGGAAACCCAATTCCAGTATATTTAATAATTTGTTTTGTTCAGGGTTTTCAGTGAATTTTTTGAAACCACTATGTAAGCTCCTTGTACCAGTTCTGCTTAAAGTAGTCCCCTCCTGTAATAGCCTTGCTCCAGGTAGACGTTTCCCACGTGTCACCCCTAACTCTTCAGCTCTGCAACCTGACTCTCTAAGCTGTACCCTCAGTCCAACCACATTAGAGTCGATAACAAAGCTGATCCATCATTTACCCATCACTTAGGAAGAATTGGCACGACTGGTTACAAACATTAAAGTCTTTGGCAACATAAACATTAGAACAGCTAAACTATAATGGAATTGGAAACCAAAATCATGCAAGAATGAAAAATAGTATGTCATAGTTTATGTGCCATCTTCCAACTAAAATGTTAAGATCTTTTCAACTTGTAGGACAGGTGTGTTTGTGTGTATGGGTTATACAGTGTAACTGTGTAGTAAGATTTTGCCAGGATAATATTACCAACTGAGCAAACTTTTCTCTTTTCATTACCGATCCTTTAGAAAATAAAAAATAGGGGCGCCTGGGTGGCTCAGTCGTTAAGCATCTGCCTTTGGCTCAGGTCATGATCCCAGGGTCCTGGGATCAAGCTCCGCATCGGGCTCCCTGCTCAGCGGGAAGCCTGCTTCTCCCTCTCCCACTCCCCCTGCTTGTGTTCCCTCTCTTGCTGTGTCTCTCTCTGTCAAATAAATAAATAAAGTCTTTAAAATAAATAAATAATAAGCCAAGAGAGAGGGAAAGCTGAAGTTATCTGGTTGCTTCCCCAAAGGTGGTGGACACCCCCAGGTGGTGTACAAGATTAACCAGAGGTACAAGAAGAAAATATTAGAGCTTCTTTTTACTTTTAAAAAGTAAATAATAGTTTATATTTCTACTTTTATCCATTTAATGATGCATGTAATTAGTAGAGGTCGATACTTAGTCATATATTGAAGGGAGTGCTGTTTAAAAGCAAATTTTATGAATGTATAATCAAAAAAGTTCAAAGACCTCCAGCAGACACTAAGGGAAAGAGACTCAGTCTTTTTTTGAAGTCATTTGTCAGAAGAAAAACACATGTTAAAGGAAAAAAAATATTGCATATACCTTACATTTTTAAAAATACTTTTATATTAAGCTTCATATTGTTTTTGAAGAATGTAAACTATTGTGTTGGTTGAAGACTGTAAACTATTTCTATAATTTCATTTATGTCCTTACATGTTATCCATACTTGTTAATACTTAGAGTAACTACAGAGAACAAAGAGCAAGAGTAGTGCTTACTGATAGGTCTCTCATTGCTAGGACATCATTCCTGAAGTGGTTCACACTTAACAGGAATATTTTGTTGGCTGTTTCTTACTTTCATCATCGTGGTAATGAGCTATAATTAACTTTATTGAGATAATTATGCAATCATTTTAAGGGTTTATGTATAATATATGGAACTTGGATGCGGCTTGTAGAAATAAGGTAGTAAAAAGGTTCCTCTTGAAAGTGTGACGTGACTTATTTTTGCCTGAGGCTAATCTTGAAGAGAAACCTCTCTTGATGGTCTCCCAGGAAGAAGTAAATGACCTTGGCTAGGTCCAAGGTAGAGTATGTTTTACTAACTTTACTCCATTGTGAGATTAGCTCTAATGTGTCAAAATAAAATTTCTGACAGGAAGAACAGAGTTTTAGTAAAATTGATATGTTAAAATATTAACAGAAATTAATACAAAATTTATTTTCCTTTTAGTTCACAGGAAGATGAAAGACCTATGTCACCTTTCTATTTGAGGTATTTATTTGATTTTTGTTGTTCTATTACAGGGAATGGAAGAGGGGTAGGGTTTCTTTGAGTTTATTGGCCCATTTTAATTCTTTTCAGTAGAATATTCTACACGGTGGTCCAACTAAGCTTATTGGAACCCTTCATCATATTGTTCATGCTGTGTTTTTTTTCTCTTTGGTTTAAGAAATCTTAAATTTAATAGAGCTAAAAAGATTACAATAAGATATTTTGTTTTAAATTCAGAAATGTCAAGATAGCTATTTTAATTTCAGAAACTGCCTAATGATTACGCTGTTACCTACATCTTAAAAATTCTCTTCCATGCATATATGCAGGTGGGGGGGGTGTGAGCACAAAGCTTCACCTATGTTAGGTCATTTTCTGTATAGTAGTGGAGTGTGAAACTAAGTATTCAGCAAGTTCATGGGGTTTAGGGTTATTTTCTAAACCTTTGAAGCCAGAATAACAACTATTAAAACAGGTGAGTTTACAGAATTCAAAGTAGATGTTAACTCTTTCCTCAATTTTGAAATCTACTTTTTTGAAAGAAATGTCAGAATATGTGATACGTAGTTTATTTCTGAATCTGATTTGTTGTTAATAGTCCCAGAGTTAGATTTAAGCTTTAATTCAACCAAGAATAGTTCAGAAATGTGTCATAGGACTTTAGTCTTAGCCAAGTAACTGCTTTTTAGTACTGTTCCACCCTTCAGCAACTCAAAGCATATTGCATAATCACGTTGTGGCAAAAGAGAACATTTGAGGTTTTAGTCTGAGACAACATGGTGGTCCGTTTGATTCACTTTGGTTTCCTGCCAACCAAATCAGCATATTCTGGTTTGTAGGCTACCTCAACTATACGACTACTATAAACACATGAGGATGTTGTTGCTGAGTACATGGTGACTCTGGAATTCATTATGTAAATACACACAGTAATATCAAACAAATGATTATCCTATATTAACGGAAATTAAGTTTTACACGGTACAGAAGACTACAGCACCAGATCATGCCAACAAATGAGAACTGTCTTATTTTTATTCCTCTGAATAATATCAGTGTATGTTTTACATAGTATTGAATTTTATTTTTTTAACAATTTTAAAAAAAGCTGATGGGAAAAATGGGTTTATAAGTCTTAAGACCTTAAGAGACACATAATTGTATTTTCTAATATGATTTTTTAAATTATTTAGACTAATATGTCTTGAAAAAGAAATTCTGTACTTGCAAAATGAAAGTTAAAGAATGTAAAGAAAATGTATTTACCATAACTCTTGGTAGAAGCTACTTGACTTTTCAATGTTAAGTCATAAAAACTAAAATATTATGAGAGTAGGAAAAAAGAATGAATATGCATACTAGCCCACATGTATAAGAGAGGTAAAGTTGCAGAAAAAGGAAGTTACCAGCAGACACTCTTTTGGAAATTTTAACTAAATGGAGCTATTTCATAAATGGAAAAATAATTATTATTTGTCCTGAAATTAAAATGTCAAATGTTTCTTTTTCTGAATAACATTCTGTGATAGTCTTAGAAATTATGTAAGAAGTAAGTTGGTACAAGTTAATTTAACTTTTTTTTATTATCTACTTGACATGAAGTAGGGAGAATCTATTAGTAAAATGTGAATCTGTTTGGAAGGAGCTCTTTTTGTTTTGTTTTCAAATTATTTGCATGGTGGCTTTGAGATTAACTCTTCTTGGGTTATTCTAACATACGGAATTTAAGTGGAAGAAAGAATACATGATTATTAACTATGATTAAAGTTCTTCCAGATTTTTTTTTAATTTTTTTATTGTTATGTTAATCACCATACATTACATCATTAGTTTGTGATGTAGTGTTCCATGATTCATTGTTTGTTCATAACACCCAGTGCTCCACGCAGAATGTGCCCTCTTTAATACCCATCACCAGGCTAACCCATCCCCCCACCCTCCTCCCCTCTAGAACCCTCAGTTTGTTTTTCAGAGTCCATCGTCTCTCATGGTTCGTCTCCCCCTCCGACTTACTCCCCTTCATTCTTCCCCTCCTGCTATCTTTTTTTTTTTTTTCTTAACATATGTTGCATTATTTGTTTCAGAGGTACAGGTCTGTGATTCAACTGTCTTGCACAATTCACAGCGCTCACCATAGCACATACCCTCCCCACTGTCTATCACCCAGCCACCCATCCCTCCCACCCCCCACCACTCCAGCAACCCTCAGTTTGTTTCCTGAGATTAAGAATTCCTCATATCAAAGTTCTTCCAGATTTTTGAACTAGAAAGCATAACATGTCCACTGACAATTTAATTTATAAACTAGTGCACTTTTTTGCACTACCTCTAGTGAGAACAAATGAGTGCTTAAATGTTTTAAATATACTTTCATTTCTGTAGCCTCTTCGTCTTCCATTCCTTTCTCTCCTACTTTATTAAGATTCCCTTCCTACAATTCTCAGAAAGGGCAGTTACTGTAAGACTCATGAATTTCATAACAATTTGTCAACATGACAAAAAACTAAATTGGCTCTTTAAAATCTGAAATAGTATTTACTGTGACCTTGAAAAGTAAAAAGTGATTGGTAGCTGTAAAATGATATCTTTCCTGACTAGGAATATTGAATATTGAGTGCTAGGTATTATGTTTTGACAGTGTGGACTGGTCAAGGTGTTTTGGGGTTTTGGTTTTTGGCTTTTTTCCGGGGGGGGAAGACAGAGAGGAAAGATCCAAACAAGAGATGAGACACATTAGCTGAGCTGGGTACTCACCAGAAGTAGATCCAGCCACAGGCAGCCAGGCAGAGGGGATGGGGATGGGACAGCTGGTCAGTGGTGGGATAGTCAGTTGATGGTTTATTCTGAAATGTCCAGCATGAGGTAGAATGGCAAAACTCAGTGTCTGCAGGTCTGGGAGTGGGCAGTCTTCAGGAAGACCAGATCAAAACAGAAGATAAGACCAAAGCAGGGCTCAAGTGTCAGAGGGAGGAGAAGAGATGATCCATAAAGTAATTCAGATGCAGGACATCCGACAAGCATCCAGCTCTTGGCGTGGAGACAAGGTGCATTATTTATAATGAAGGTAGAGTCTGTATGTGCAGTGTAGAGATGGAGAGCATGCAGAGGACCTGCAGTGCACTAGGGGAGGTTCCAGACCCTTTCTATGGCTAAGGGAAGGCAAGTGGGATGCAGGGACTGGGAGCCAGAGAGGCCATTTCAATTGTTACCTTGCTCTACTTTTCACCTGCTAGAATTCCAGTTTCTGTGATTACAATTCTCTGTTATAAACACTCATGGCTGAGCCACATGGTACTCTACTGTACATTTCAATTGCCTTCAATTTTTTCTGTAGTAAGGTAGGACTGTTATAAATAGACGTGCACTCATATATTCTCATTCTAGATTAAATATCTTCTGTGATAAGAACTCTGTTTTCTGTAATTTCAGCACTTCTCCACCCTAGCCTAACTCACCAGAACGATTCGTCCTTTTTTTTTTTTCCCCCAAAGGAAAGAAACAGTAGCTACAAATCTGTACTTGCTGGGTCTCATGTGCCAGGATGACTGCAGCTACAGTAGCTCAAACAGTAGGTGTCATTGTTCCCCAGATGCTCATTAGAGATTACCCACCCTGTTGAAGTGATTAAGGAAATGAAAGGGAAGAGCAAGTTTCGCGAAACCCTTAGCAAGATTGCTGCAAAATAGACAAGAACCTGCAAACTTCAGGTGAAGAACATTCTTCGCAAAGATGTCCATATCCTGGGCTCTCGTGCTCTCCACTGGACTCCCAGAAAAGCACCCCTACCCCAATTGCTCAGATTAGCAGCTTGCTATATGCGTTCCGTGCCACATCCAGCCTGTTACTGTCTGAATTCTTTTGCCTGTCATCCAGTCCGCCCTGGCTAGGATCTGTTGCTAGTTCTACTTTTAGTTGGGTCTTCAGTATCTGCAAATTTGGATTTGGATTTCTCTGTCTATTTCCACTGGGACTGAGGCGTCTTAATCCCTACTCTACATTCCTCCGCGCCTCTGTCGACGCCCATCTCATCTGTACTACCTTCACATTCCTTATGGCCAGGTTCAAATCCTGCCCGCATCCCATCCCATCCTGTCCCATCCCATTCAGCTTCTACTCTTGAATTCCTTCTTCTTAAACGATTCCAGGATTATACATATAGTTTGCATATATGGATGATACATATATATAGCCTCTATACAAGGCCCATCTCTGCCTGTGCTTCATCAAAATCCTAAATGTGCTTCGGGAGCTACATCCCTGTAACCAGTCTTATTCACTAGGCTCTAAACAGCTCACCTGGCCTCTGAATGGTGGCTCCTTGCTCACCTAACACCTACCTCTTAGCAACTGGGCTAATCTTCCTCCGCTTTTTCTTTCTCATTTTGTGCTCCATTGAAACTCTGAAATTGACAGTCTATCAATTTCAGCCCAAGTTTTAATACTCCAGGCACAAATTGAAGCTAAATTACTATTTTAGCAGATTTGGAATTGCTTAGGGTCAGTGTCAGTATGTGTTTTCTAATTTTCCTATATCGGGAACATCAGATAGATTTATATCTAAGTAAGCTTTTGGAATAGAAACTCATTCTTTAGTATTTTAATATTTTTATTCCTTGAAACCAGGATCATTAATTTATGAAAGTCTTTTAACTGTAGATTTACATTGAAGAAAAATTTAGCTTTGGATAAATTGAGATTAAAACATTACCTGACATTAGATGGAATCTGAAAACTATATCATACGACTCCTATCCTGATATGTAGAAAAGTTCTTATAGATCATTTTTAGATAGCTCTTTGGGGATTACTTTTCCAAACAACTTGTGCTAGAATTTGTAGGTTTATGATTTTTTTCATACTTTATTAAATTTTTTAATAGTTTATTTTTCTTATTAACTCTGTTGTATGTTTTCTCAACTATCATTTTGAGGTAAAAATCTCTCATCAGATGGGATAGTTTTGAAAAGTGCAATATATCAGGCATTATATTTGTTGTAGAC